GCTATGTAGCATCAATAATATATATCCAATATTTCTACCATTTTTTGCATCCGAGTAATACATTACAAACATATTCGAGTAAAAATGATTAAATCTAATAAGCAAATTAGATATGTATCAGTAACAAATTATCTAAGCAAACAAACATAGATCTGTATCCATTTTTTCAAATATAAATTGGATACATTCACAATTATTTGCACAGCATCATCATGGGAATGGTTTCGGAAATTAGAATATTAAGCCTTCANCCAATAATGATTTCAGATCACAGAAACATAAATCAGTCATCCGTCAGCAAACAATTAACATAAACATGAGTTTCTTATCCTTGATGATCATAGCAACATTAAAAAAAAAAGGCACAAATTAATTTATTCCAAGCTCATGCACATACAATTGGGAGAAAATAATTCCACAACAATTAACATGACCATTTGATGCAAAGTTGAATGAATTTACAAAGTCACCTTGTGGGCCATAACAAATACATCAATTGATCAATAATTCATATGGAAATTGAATTTCATCAAATCATTCAGCCAAACAAAATCGAGTCATTGATATATTTGCATGGGACCGATACACAAATCACATACTCATCATTATCATCCAACAATAAAACATAATGTAACGAGGGGATTGGTGTCGAATAGATCAAACACAATATTATTTATCTCTATTCAATATCGTAAATACACATCAAACTATTTATTTACATAACTCATACAAAAGTCATCAATTAACTCATTTGGAGATAGAAATAAATATAACTAAAATTGATGAAATTAATAGATCATTATTGATATTGAATAGATCTTGAATATTACCTTGACAGAAAAGACACGATTCTTTTCTAGAGCATAAATCAATTCTTGATTGTTACCTTGATTGCCCGTTCGTCTTGATGTCGCCGCCGTTCGCTTAGATGGTAGAGTACTCGTGCTGATAACGTGTTGTAATACAGACTAGTACGTGGCCCGTGCAATACACGGGGAAACAATATTACGATTGTGTCATAAGTTAAATATATAAATAACATTCATTATAATTCACCTATTACTTTCAAAACAGGACCGGACCGAACAGTCCGACCGAATAGACCGACAATCGCTTTATCGATCAGCCCGATTAACTTAAATAAAATGTTTGCTTGCAAACCGGTCAACGCCAATCGGTTTTGGTGTTCGGTTGAACTGGTAAGAACAGTACGATATTTTAAATATATTGTTATTTACTTTTATTGTCGAATTTGAAAGTTTGGCCATTATTTTTGCATTAAAATTTTATTTATGTGATACGATTTATTCTTCCGAATTTCTAGATATTTATGTTAATAAGATATTGGTCATAAGTTGTTGATAATATTTGTTTCCAAAAAATATTAAAGAAAAAATGCAAATACATCCTATACAGTTTTTTTGGTTTTGAACCAAGATGTGCTTTCTAAAAAATATTGATACCTAATAATAAGACCATATAAATTTTAAATGAATATGTACATTATTTTTTCATCAAATTTTAATTTCTTTAATTGAGTTATTATCACGAAATTCAAGACAATTTACCTTGATATTGTAATCGACTCAAATTAATCTATATGTTAATAAGGTTTGTTTACAAACAATTTTAAAGATACCAATATTGTACAATTATATTTTTTTAAAACTTTAACAAAAAAAAAAGTGCACAGATCTTTGTAAAATTAGAGCACGGATCTTTTTTAAATAGCTACAAAATTCGTAAAATATGGAATGTATTTAATTCCATATTAATCAAAGTAAAATACAAAAATATTTTCAAAATAATTAATACACCATTCTCAAATGGGTTTGAAAAAAAAAACCTATGGATATTTGTAGATTTGGAATACGAATCTTTTTAAAATTAAACTACAGATCCAATATGTAAAATATGATGATATCTTCTTAAAATTGATCTAAATATTAAAAGATGGAATGCATTTGATTCCATATTAACTAAAATAAAGTACAAAAATATTTTCAATATAATTAAAATGGAGTTCTGAAGTTGGGTTGAGAAAAAAAAGTGTTAATGGATATTTGATTAAATAGAGCAGGTACCTTTATAAAATAGCTCTAAATATCTCACATGTAAAATATAAAATGTAGTTGAGTACATATTAAACAAAACAAATCTATCAAAAATAATTAAAAAGGCTTTAGTAAATCGATTTACAAAAATATGGACATATTTTCCTTAAGTGGTAAGTCAACAAATTTGACCAAAAAATTAATTAAACTGTCCACAAATGAATTTTCCATCAACCTCTTTCAATATATATAGATTAATGAATGTTG